TCATCCTTTCTAACCAACAGGAGAGTAGAGCTTACTAACCGCTTGGAAAAATCGATATATCGATTGGCAACTGGTTGTATCCAAACTTTTCTAATCCACTTTGTCCTAGAGCGTGTATTAACATAATCTCCCTATCTTTACTATATGCTTGAGTTAATAAAGTAACACTTCAAAAATAGATCGATATCGATTTATTGATTTAAGGCTATGTTGCTTCACCTTGGGCAACTGACAAAGATGGAATACGTTCTCGAACCTGCACCTATACGATGGCATTAAATCATGCTATGGCTCCGAAGAGTTGTGTAGTTACAGAAAAGCAGGTGAGTAATCAATATTCAGGATCAATATATTGTCTTATTGCTTGTTCTCTTGCAGGTCATCTCCCATTTCGGGCGTCATGGTGATGGTTTTGTTGTCAATAAAGAAACACAAAATGCAGGAGTACCATATGCGAATGACTTCATCGTACAGGTTCGTTTTGGGACCAGCAAACTGAATCTTGAGATGAGAAGAAGTAAAGAAATTACAGTGCATATACTGCATTTCGAAGGTTAGCGACCACGAGGCAAGGATCAAAATTCACGGTGGTATAGTGTACAAAAGAAATATTTGGAGTGTTGTCAGAGGTGGGCGGAGTTTCCAATTCACATTTATAGTTAGAATTTACTTAGAGTATAAAATGTTCTTCAGGTTACATTGAGAAAAGCACCTATCAAGGTCTTGATGATCATTATACTGCACTAGAAGATACTCTACGCGACGAATGCGAACGTAAGGCCATGCGGCCGGAGTCGCAAGAACCCATAGTCGATAGGTACGATGAAGAGAGGTAAGTCAATTTATTTGGTACAAAAGCACAACACTTGTTCTTATCTTTTCATACTTTGGGTTAGAGATTTGTTCGAAAAAGTTCGCCTGAGCTATTGTGGAAAAGTTCTGTTACGTTTAAAAGACTTTATATAGTAAACTTACCATTACATTTGGTAAAAGTATCTTAATCATTTTCTTCATTCACGATTTTTATGAGTTTATCGAAGAGTTAGGTAATTTCTTATTATTATCTTATTA